CACTACTTCCCTTGCTTTCTCCCAGTTTTTTCCTCTTGTCCCCACCCATAAGTTGTATAGGGTATTTTCCACATAGTGTCTAATGAGTACCACTGCTGCATTTGTTTACCCTTTATCCCTCCATATCTGTGCCCCTCTTGCCCTCCTAAAGACAGAGAAATGAACAACATAAAAAGACAAAATGAAAACAAGGAAGAAAATATATGGTAATAATAGAGCAACTGACTCAAAGTTTAGTTCTTTTTTTTTTTTTAAATTGTAAGTCATCTATTATTATTACAGATGTCAGGTTTCCTTTGATTTTTTTTTTTGCTCAAGGCACAGTTCAGCTTATGACTTTTTGCTGGTTAACTGAAGATAAGAGTTTTACAAATTTTCCTGCCTGCCCAGGCTGACGTTGAACTCAGATCTCAGCCTCTTAATGAGGTCTTTTCCAATGTCATAGAAAAATTAAGTGTCTTTGGTTTCAGCAGTTATGTATCTGTTTACATGCTCTTGAGGATTTATCAGTTGCTTGAAAAGCCTCAGTTAGCCCTTCTTAGGCTCTGAATAGTTTTGCCTATCTCTATTTTGGAAAGTTGCTGAGGGCTGGGATTTTAGCATAATGGTAGAGCATCTGCCTTGGAAACCCATTCCAGCATAGTGTGTGTGGGAACATCTCTAAGACTCTTAACCAGAAACTCACCTGTCTCACCCAAAATTTGGTGTTTCCAAAGAAATTGCCAAGCATCACTTGTCTCTGCTGGCAGAGAATGATCAAAAGAGAGATTTTTAGAGTGAATCAAAAAAGATTCCAATATTCCATTCTCTTCAGAAGCTCTGACTCACCGGGTGTCCTCCTCACAATGACTGCACTGGCTGAGCTTGCCTTTTGGTACGACAGGCAAAATGGTGCTTTATTCCAGGGGAAGATGAGTTGATCTTAATAAGTACTGGGCTGCACTGGGTGAGCAAGACAAACCAAAGGAGATGAGGTTAAAAGTAGGAAAGGCAGGCATATCCCTAAGTAGCCTGCAAATTAATCTTTAATTTTTATGATGCTACTACTTCCCTCTTGGTTTTCTAGTAAGCTTTCCTTTAACAAAGACAATCAGCCAGGCACCAGTGGCTAACTCCTGTAATCCTAGCTACTCAGGAGGCTTAGATCTGAGGATCTTGGTTTGAAGCCAGCCCCGGCAGAAAAGTCTGAGAGACTCTTATCTCCAATAAACCACTCAGAAAAAGCCAGAAGTGGAGCTGTGGTTCAAGTGGTAGAGTGCTAGACTTGAGCACAAAGAGGCTTGGGGAAAATGCCCAGGCCTAGAGTTCAAGCTCCAGGACGGGCAAAAAAAGGGAAGAATGGCCTACTGGCAGGTCAGTAAAGACAGGGGTCTCTCTCTAGACTAGTGGCATGAATGGCTTTCCCTCTACTATAGAATGACTCTCCATCAATTAGCCTTCCACAAATTGCCATACCATTTGTGCTATGTCCCCAGCCCTTTTGTTCTTGTTTTTGAGACAGTCATGCTACATTTGCTTGGGCTGGGCTGGATCTATGTCTCGATCCTCTGTCTCTGTCTTTTAAGTATCTGGGATTACAGGTGTACAGAATAACATTTGGCTTAGTATCAACTTTGTAAACAATCCGTTGAACACATGCAAATAGAGAAAGTGGAAAGGAAAGGGGATTGGAGCAAGCAGTACTATAAGTTTTGCTTTCTCATTATTCATAGCTTTTTTTTTTGTTTTTGCTTGCAGTTTTTTCCCCCTAAGTGAGTTTGTTTTTATTTAATATGCAACTTTCACTTTGTATTTCAAATTCCCCTTAAGCACCTAAAAATGTTTAAGTGTCATTACTTTTCACATTAAATATGAAATTAGCCTGAGAACCTGAAAGTATGCCAGAAATAAACTAAAACATTTAAAAAGGAATTTGAGCGGGGCACCAGTGGCTCACTCCTATAATCCTAACTATTCAGGAGGCTGAGATCTGAGAATCATGGTTCGAAGCTAGCCCAGGCATGTAAGTCTGTGAGGCTCTTATCTCAAACACACACACACACACACACACACAATTGAATTTAGTGATTTCTTTCAGCGAACTCATGGTTTGTAAGAAAACCTCTTACGTGTCAGGGACAATTGACATTTTACAACAGTTGTGCCGGTTAATTCTACAGCTGTGCAAAACGGTAGTACATTTATGTTTGAGGGCTGAGAAAAAAATACAAAACAGGGAAGGGTATATAAATTCAGGCATCCCAAGATCCAGGTCTTATGGCAATAAATCAGATGATCTAAGGCTTAAGAAGGGAATAGACTCCTTGGCAATCAAATGATAGTGCGAAAACATGGAGCAAATAATGGTAGTAGTGCATCCATTCAACCACTTCCGGATGATTGGTTGAAAAGGAAACATTGTTACACACAACGACACAGCTCAGAAAGGGGATTAATTTAGCAAATAGAAGCTTCTTTTGAACAAAGGGTAGCTCCTGGCCCTAGGATGTGCGTTAAACCAGGAGCTGCTTGTCTTTAGGCTGGAAGAAGCTGATGCTAAAGGCTCACGGTGACCAGCTGGAAGGCCCACAGTGCACCCAGATTGTGTGTTTCTACGGGAAGGGCGGGGGCTCATAAATCCAGGTGGGAAAGACGCCTCATTTGCCCAGTATTTGGGGAGGAAATCACCTCCCAGCCCCGTTCGGGGTGCGGCATCCTTCACGTTCCATCCCTAAGCGCAGAACGCATCCCAGACCGGAGACGTGTCCCACAGCCCCGCGCGGCGTGCGGAGTGCGGGGTCCCGGGGCAGCGGCGGCGGCGGGCGGGGTGGGGGTGGGGGCGGTGACGCAGGAGGCAGCGGAGGGGGCCCTGGCCGGGAGGGGCGCGGGCCAATCAGAACGCGCGGTGTTTGGAGACCGGGGCTCCAGGTTTCCTCGGGTCTCGGCGCAGCGCCGCCTGCCGAGTTCCGAGCGAGCGAGCGGGCGGAGCCTGCGGCGGGGGTCTCCGGGCGCGCCCGCCAGTCCGGATTTTCCTCGAGGCTCCCCCCGCCCGCGCGTGCAGGCCCTCCCCTTCCCGGGTCCCGACGCGGCTCGG